GTGTATGTGTGTGTGTGTGTGTGTGTGTGTGTATGTGTGTGTGTGTAGCCAGTAGCGTCAGTAAGATATACGAAAACTTGTTGTTCGACCAATCTCTCGGAGAAGGGGAGGTCGATCACTTCTGTATATATATGTTTATGACGATCTTCTGTATACTTAATAGTTTCCTTCATTTGCTTACTAGCTAGCTAGCTGTCGAGTCCTCTCTATACGTAGCGTCGACCAAGCACGGAGATAAGAAAGGACACTTCTCTCTATTAGCTAGCTAATACAATATATGAAACCCCATAAATTAATCCCCCACCCCCCAGAAAAAAAACAAAAAGCCAAGCTTCTGAAATGCTGACGCGTGGAAGCCTTTCGGTCCCAGTTGGTGGCACCTCCCGTTGATTCTAACTACTATCATCAATGCATTTATAATGCTTCATTATCAGTTTGATTGACCTCTATTTCTCGTAAAGTGCTTGTGGCAGGAAGCCGGGAATGATTACTGTGGATACTATGTCTCCAAGTTCATCTACAACGGCGACGGCCAAGAATAGGTGGGGCTACTCAAAAAGACAATATGAAGTGCGTAAGCAAAAATATTCACAAGTTTATTTTATTACCATCATTTCTGTTGAGTTTCATTCATATATATGTATTGACCCCCTTATTCAAATTAGATGTGGGAGATACGGAATGAACTCCTACCAGAAGATCGCATGCGAGCAATTCAAGAGAAATTGGCTGGATTCTTTCTTGACCATGTCATCAATAAAGCTGGAGAATACCACTATGCATGTGGAAGTTGAGTTCATATGGGTATTGTAAGAGATCTTACACATTATATATATATATATATATATATATATATATATATATATGTGTGTGTGTGTGTGTGTGTGTGTGTGTGTGTGTGTGTGTGTGTGTAGCCAGTAGCGTCAGTAAGATATACGAAAACTTGTTGTTCGACCAATCTCTCGGAGAAGGGAAGGTCGATCACTTCTGTATATATATGTTTATGACGATCTTCTGTATACTTAATAGTTTCCTTCATTTGCTTACTAGCTAGCTAGCTGTCGAGTCCTCTCTATACGTAGCGTCG